TGCTCCTACTACTACGAACCGCACCATCCTCACCTTTCTGGTGTCGCCCGACCCTATCGCCACAGTTAGACTCACCTCGCCCATCGGCATCACCTCTCCCCCGTTAAAACCGTACAAGGCCGTCGACACCGGCTTCAGCTCTAGATTCAGGTGTTTGTTGATCTGCGCGAAGCAGTCGTAGAACATGACATCGACCGAACTGCCTGTGTCGATGAACACCCTCTTCACATCGAAACCAGCAACTTCTGCAGTGATAACCAGCGCATCATTGTGGGGCAATAAAACCCCTTCTGCGTCTTCTGCTCGAAAGCTAATCACCGGCATTCGACCGGTTATCCCAACTTCCTCCCTCTTACGCTTTGCAGCTCGCACATGCCCCTTCCGTGCATTGTTCGAGTCCCCATCCGTGGGCCCCCCAGAAATCATGTAAATAGTGCCTCTCTTTAATGGCGTCTCCCTCCTAGGCTCCTCTCGAGGGTCACTTCCTCGACCCCTCTTTTCCCTCCTGTCATCATCCTCCCCATCATCGTCCTTGTCACTTCTCACTATTGACTCCCCCCTGCACCTCCTTTTCTCCTTTCCTCGTGGTCGATCCTGGATGACAAATTCCTTTAAATGCCCTGCCCTTATTAAGCGCTCGATCTCGTCTTTCAGGTGCCTGCAGCCTGCTGTGTTATGCCCATAATCCCTATGGAATCTACAGTACCTGCCCGACCTTGGTTTGGTCGGTCCGTCGAATCTTGTCGCTGGCCACGTAATCTCCTTGTCATCCAGCTTTTCCTCCATGGCTACCAGGACTTCGCCCATCTGAGCGTTAAGAGGAGTGAAAGTGTTATATCTTTGCCCGTTGGGTAGTCGAGGTCGTCCTTGCCAACGATCTTCTCGTCCTCCTTGAAACGAATTACGCCCATCCCTCTTGGGCGACAATCTCCTGAATGGGCCACACTTCTGGGGATTCCTCTTGGGTGACTCCCGTCTGGGTGATCTGGTGTAACACCCTGCTATTTTAAATACATCAGAGTGCGCGATTTTTCGCAAATTTT